CCTCTGTCTTCCAAAAGAGGCCAGATGTGGGCACCGGTGAGGTGGGCTAGGGCCACAAACCTTAACGGGAAAATTAATAATGGGAAACCTCACTAAAAGGGAGCCAGGAGGCCAGAAGGGGGAGCCATAACAGTCTACCTCAACCGTAGGAAGAATGATCTATTACCAACCCCCACAGAGGAATCATCAAACAGAAGAGAATCATCCAGTTCAGGTCCAACAGGGAAAGATGTGCATAGCCTCTCCTCCAAGAAAGGGAGCGCCCTGCAACTCAGCTGAGCCAATGAGGAGCTGTCTTTACCCCCATCCCTCACTTTCCCCAGTGGACTTTCCTTCAAAACAACCCTTCCTGACTTCCTCCTCCTTCTCTGTGAAAGAAAGTCCCCCTCCTTGGTTTGGCGGACTAGCCTATGATTTTTGCCATAGGCTTGTCCTGAATTACCATTCTCTACCATTCTTGCGTTAACCCATTTTTGCCGGAAAAATAATTTTTATTTTTAAGGTTAACGAACACAACCTGGAGAGGAGGGGGGGGTGGACTGTCCTGGATGGAACAACCTGTGTTTCCCTGTGTCTATTTAGAACAGCAGCCCAGGGACAGCCTCTGAAGTTGCAGGCAGTATGTGGTGTGAAGGCTTAGTTTTCCGGGGAAGAGTCCTTAGTTCTGAGGACTTCCTGACCCTGGCTTCGAAGAACCGTGGACGGCTGGTTTTGAAGGCCCTCCACAGATGCCTGGATCCCCTGCACGGAGTCAGCCTCCCGTGGCTCCCACTCCCAGGCACCTGAAAATGTCTTCGAGGTTGGGGCGGGGAGGAGACCCAGGGTTCTGACAGCATCGTGGGCCGGGAAGAAACGGTTTTAAGCGACAACCGGGTGAGAATCTGTCTCACCTGGCCACCAGAGGACACAGTGTGAGCACCCTGGGTGTGGTGGAGGCTGTCACACCCCAAGACCGGCTGGCTTACTCCTGAACCCATCCCAGGGGACCTGGTCCTCCTCTGCCAGTGGCCATCCTGCCATGGGGTCTGAGGGACGCGTTTTCCGTCGCTTGGAGGCAGTGCTGGACTCTTGGGTCCACCGGGCCCAGATGGGGTGGGGGCATCACCGTGTCTTAAAGGAGCCCGAGGTCAGTTCTTGTACCGCGAGGGAGGCAGCCAGCTCCCCCACAGTCAAAGAGGGGCTGGCTGGAAACTCTGAAGCTGGGGCTGGGAGCCGTGCTTCCCCTCCACGTGCACACCTGTCTGGTCAGCGCACCAATGGCAAGCTGCCTACCAGAGGCCAGAGCAGGCAATACCTCACACCTCTACACACAACCTGGGGAGCCCACAGAGTCACGGGGACTGAAAGCCACTCAGACCCCACTGGGCTTTTGCACCATGTCAAGCCCTTCTATTTGTCCCCAGCCCTGCAGAGCGACCCAAGCCCTCCCCCGCCCACCCCGAGCTCCTGGTCCGGGCCACTCTCTGCTCTCTCACCTTCCCCTAGAAACAGGAATCCAGGCTCCTGGCAGGGCTGATGGGCTATCTTGGGGCATCAGAGGGAGGTGTCCCAGGGCCACCCATCCCAGAATGTTGGCTGATGACCCCCCGCACCCCCAGATCGCTCACCTTCCTCACTGGTGCTTTCAGTGGTTGCGGGGACAGAGCACGGGGCTTGTGGGATGCCTGGGGACACTTGCTTGTGGCCAGCCCTCCACCGCTCAGGGCCTTGGCATCGGTTACTGATGCGCCCGAGGTGACAGCTGGAGTTTCTAAGGCAAAGTGATCCTCCGAGTAACCTGAGAAGGCCCCAGTTACAAGGCAGGCCAGCAGGATGGCTGGACAGCTTGGCCAGGGCCCAGAGTGGTCGGCCCCTGCCGCGTGGTCCTGGAGGGCAAGCAGTGATGTTCAGACGGGAGTGAAGGCTGGCTGGAGCTGGGCCATGGCTGGGTCCCCCATGAGGTCAGGGAGCTTGGTGGGTGGGCCAAGAGGGTTTCTTCAGGCTGGTTTGAGGTAGGAGGTATCACTCAGTCCAGTGATGGCAGAGGAGAATGATGAGACTCAGTAAGGCAGGGGGATCCAGTATCCACAGGGAATATCAACCCAACGGCCAGATTTACCATCATCAGAAGAGGAGGTCAGATTTACCATCATCAGAAGAGGAGGTCCAGGCCATGAAATAAGGTTTGGATGGGAAAGGATGCTCACTTAAGTAATTTTGGAAATGAGTGGAGTCCATAAAACTAAGCACACAGCGCTATACTGTAGCTGGTGAAGTCAGTCCCCACTGGGGTACAGGTTAACAACTGTGAAATCACCACACATGCATGCTGGACTTGAACAATTAAGTAAGTGGACTGTGGGGGCCAGGTTACTCTCTGGCAGAGTGGGAGGTCACAGATAAGCAAAAGGGAGAGCTAGAATGATCCACGTGGCACTGGGTTAGAGTTGGGGACATCAGCGTGAACTCGTTTGGCTTACTATAGCTGCAGATGGGCACGTACAGAAATATTTACTGGGGCTCCTGGGGGGCTTAGTCGGTTAAGCGTCTGACTTTGGCTCAGGTCACAATCTCATGGTCCGTGGGTTCGAGCCCCGCGTTGGGCTCTGTGCTGACAGCTCAGAGCCTGGAGCCTGCTTTGGATTCTGTGTCTCCCTTTCTCCCTGCTCCTCCCCGGCTCATGCTCTGTCTCTGTCTCTCTCTCAAAAATAAATAAACATTAAAAAACTTTTTTAAAAAGAAATCATTACAGATATGTGCATATACATAGATTAGTATAGGAACATATGTCTGCCTGCTCTGTCAGCAAGAGGGCTGAGAAGCCAGGCATCCTGGCAGCATTGAGCACATCTAGCGCCAGATCTTGGTTTCTAATATCATTCTCCAATAAAAGGAGGCAAGATCTTTGGAGAAATGACTGATTCTAGGCCTGGAAAGTCGGAGAAACTGTCAAAAACTGGAGGGGTCGGGGCGCCTGGGTGGCTCAGTTGATTAAGCATCCGATTTCGGCTCGGGTCATGATCTCATGGTTTGTGGGTTCGAGCCCCGCATCGGGCTCTGTCCTGGCAGCCCAGAGCTTGGAACCTGCTTTGGATTCTGTCTCTGTCTCTCTCTCTCTCCCCCCCCCCC